TATCTTTGAGAAACTCACACGTGCAGAAGGATGAATGAATTAGAATGTCATTGCAACACTGTTAGTTATTGTGGAAAAACTGGAAACTACCAAATATTTACAAAAAGGAGAATGGATAATTTTTATATGTTCACAAAAATGAAGAGAAAATGAATGACCTAGAGCTAAAAGCATCTAAATATATATAAATTCCAAAAATATCTCTTCTGCAACATGTACCTATACATATAAATTTCAAAAATGTGGGAACCGTCTTCTACAACTTTTACACACACACATATTTTGTTTATAAATAGTTTTAGAACATGCAAAGTAATATTATATAACATTAAATAGTTTTTATGTTCATAAATATTATAGTAAGCGTGATAAATACCAAATTCAGGATAGTAGCTACTATCCTGGGAAAAGAGGAAGGGGAATGTGAGAGAGGTGTTTCAATTTTACCTGTAATTTCTTTTTGTTATCTAATTAACTAGTCTATCTTTGCAAATTAAATGCAAAATTTTGTTTTGTTTGGTTAGGATTTTGTCTAGTATAGGATCAATATATAATAGAAAAAGTTTAGTGAAAATACTCTTCAAAAATAACAAAATACAGCAAATAAGACAAAATGTTAAAGTTCAGTGAAGTTGGGTGGTAGGTACATGGGTGCTCATTATATTATTTGCCATACTTTTCTGTATGTGCTTAAAATATTACCTAATAAAAATTTGAGAAATAAATATTTGGGTTAAAAAAAAAAACCCACTATTTTTCAGCTCTCTGACTAATCTCATCAAACTTCAAATCCCTTCACTATGAATGAGATTACCCATAGTAGCCTACCAAACGAAACCTATTTTCTGGGTGAAGGCAGCCCATCACCGTATCTGAGGGTGGAAGAATGAAGCCAAGGACATCTGACTTTTGGAATGAGAAAAATGCTTTAAATGTTATTTTCTACTTGAACACTAACAATATAGCATTATAACAATACTTGAAGTTATACAAGAAAATCATCTAAATGAATAAGACTTGATTAATCAGATCCATAATGATTTTAATCTTATTATACTTCTGATAAGGTAATCAACTTGACCCTATTTTTTTCAGGATTGTCTCAGTTTTAAAATTGAAAGTCTTGTGTTCCAGGAAGATGGAACACAACAACCAGATGAAAGTTAGTTCTTCCTTTTGAGGGACCTATGTATAGGTCACTCTACCACAAATACCAATTCATCAGTGTTCTTGGACAGTTTTCAATATCTGGTTACCCTCTTACTTCTTTCCCAAACTCAAAAGATTGCCTCACCATAGGAGTTTAAGACTAGGGATGCTCCTGACCATGGAGGAAGAAATTGAGTAGAGGAAAAGACAGAGGATCCACTTCTTTACATTGATCTTTGAATAGTCTGTAGGGAGGTTATTCACTCTCCTTCCAGTTTCAAAAATATTTTTAAATGAATTTTCTCTTTGTAATATTTAATGTAAAACAGCACGTTTGTGTACTCTAGAAGATATCTTCATATAGATGAGCACTTTAATAGAGTAGCTATTCAAAGGAGGGGAATACAGAAGGAAAATCTGCTCACTTACAGTGAATGTCCCCAAAATACAAGGCCCTAAAACTACAGGTTTGGGATAGCACCTAGGACAGAGTCCAACACGTTGACGACATTATTCAATACGTTAGTTTCCTTTCCTGAGTAGTGTGGAAAGATTTAAACTTTCCACATCTCTCAATTTCCTTTTGATTCTTCTAAACTAGACACCGAGCAAATAAAGATGAAATAAGCTTGATAAGGATATTTTATTCCTGCAGAGGCTTGTCTTCGTGTACTTGTATTTAACAAATCCACTATCTGAGAGCAGAAATAAAAGAACTGCTTTCAATTAATCCACAAAAATAGTCATCTAGGTCCAATTTAAATTTGGACCTACCCCCCACTTTTTCATTACCAACCAGAGAATATACTTATACAGTGGCTTCTTTATAGCTAAAAAATTTAACAATGAGATTCTTTTCCTCTTTCTTTGCACTCTTTTACAGTGTATCAGTACAAAATGAATACACAGACTTCATATTTTTCTTCCTCAGAATTTTCTTCACACAATATCTCCTTTCAGTATCAACATTTTTCTGGGGTAAGAGACAGAAGAACAAAAAGAACACTGGAGTGAGTTTGGAATTAGAAAGCACTGTTTTAAGTTCCAGGTCTGTCATTTAATTTTCTATGTGATCTTGGTAAAGTGTAAAATGGGAATAATACTTAACCCATGGTAATTGGAAAGTACAAGAATGTATACAGGGGCTGGCCCAGTGGCACAATGGTTAAGTTCACGCACTCTGCTTTCACGGCCCAGGGTTCGCAGGCCCGGAGTTTGAAGGCCTGGATCCCAGGCACGGACCTACATACCGCTCATCAAACCATGCTGTAGCAGGTGTCCCACATATAAAATAGGGGAAGATGGGCACAGATATTAGCTCAGGGCCAATCTTCCTCAGCAAAAAAGAGAAAGATTGGCAACAGATGTTAGCTCAGGGCTAACCCTCCTTACAAAAAAAAATGTATACAGAAGATCTTTGTAAATTGTAGAAGGCATTTTTAAGGAGATAAAAGACAAACTTAGTTGATATCACATTATCAATAGCAGAGTCAAAATTAATAAATTAGGCCTGATTTTCTAGACAGTGATGCCCTTAGATCTGAAAGGTACCACTGAGAACATTAGCACTAAGACTTGCTAAAACTTAACCATGAACACACATAATTATCAATAAAAATTCTGTGTCAATTGTACCTCCTCTCTAGCACCCTTTATTTCAATTTATCAGTCACTAAGGTGTAAAAAAAAAAAAAGCAGAAAAAAAATACTAAGAAAGCCACACAAAACCTGAGTGTGAGGGATATAAATAACACTACATTGACGATGGAAAGCTCACCATGTGCCAAGCACTCTTCTTTGAGCTGAGGAGACAGGAGTGAACAAAACAGATTCTATACCTGGCCTCAAGCAGCTTACACACAGAAGGGGGAGGCAGGTAAACAAATCAACAAGTAAATAGACGGTATGCTAGAAATACTGGTAAGTGCTATGCACAAGTAAAGCAGAATAAGGGTGAGGGAGTGCCGCGTGGCAGGGAAGGGAGGGGAGTCAGGAAGGCAAGGCCTCACAGATAAGGTGACTCATGAAATGACCCAAAAGAAGTGAGGGGAGCTGTCTGAGAAGAGTGGGAGAATAACCCAGGGCCCAGAGGCAGAACTGCGGAAGCAGCTAGTGAGGGAGAGGGTGGTAAGAGATAAGACAGAGATGGGACCTCACAGACCAGATTTTATTCCGAGATGAGATGTCTCTGGAGGATTTGGGAAAGATGAGTGACATGTAACAGTTGTTTTCAAAACTTGTTACTTGTGGAATCTTTTGGTCAAAGGCATCCAAAGATGATCGATACGTAAAACAGATAAAATAGGAGCTGCTCTGGTTAAGGAAGGGGTACCCAGAGACCTGACTAAGTCTGCTGTTCCCACTTTCCCTCTCCCTCCTCTGAAGAGTTTAAAAATGATTACAAAGTCTGTAGCATCGAAACTTTCATATCCTGTATCCAAAGAACTTCATAATCTGGCTCCATCCTAATTTTTCAAAAAACTATTTCTAGGGAACAGCACAAAGGACTGCCAATGCATAGTAGAGGAGCAAATGTATCACCACAAAAGTCTTTGTAATACCCCATCAACCAAGTACCAAAGCACAAGGTGCAACAGCCCCTCTCCCTTCCCCCTCACACCCCTCAGGCAACATACTACCTGTTCGCAGCTTGTGTTCCCTTTCAGGGCTTCCCTTGATATTCATTTTAACTTGATTTCACTTGATTAAAAGTGTTCTGGCGATACAGTGTTATCTGCCTCTGCTGACATATCTCTGGATACAGCTCATCAATTTACATTCTAGGAAAATTCTTCCTCCACTAATGTTATTTCTTCTATCAGTAATGACTTCCCCGTTTGCTCTGTTCTAATCCTACCCACCTGTCAAAGTCTGCTTTGTGACGCCTTCTCTCCCACATTCTGACCCTTAACTGGAATCCTAAATCTTCAGAGTGTGAAGGGAACTTCCAGGCCATTTAGTGCTCTAATTTATTGCTCATTCCATGGACCAACGCTCTACAGATTTGGCTGGTAGTCTTCCAGCCTTTGTGACTGCTTTTAGTGACAAGCACACACTAGCCCACAAGACAGTCTATGCTCTTTTAGACGTACAGTTAACTGTGAGAAAATTATTTTTACTGATCTAGAACCTGTTTCCTTTCATCACTGGTTCTGCCCTCTGGTTCTAATAGAAGAAAGTCTGACACACAACCCCACCCCCAGCCTGCACAGCTTATAGTTGGCCTTGTGTTTTCGCCCATTCTGGCTCCACCTCTAAAAATCCTACCGATTCCCCAGCCATTCCACAGGCCATCTGTGGAATCTGCATTCAATTTGTAATTGCAGTTTACAGGCAGATCTGATAGCCAGTAAAGCGTCGCTGTGTCCCATGCCACAGATTACACCCCTTCCCTGATTCTTTCCTTTGAACTCTCTTAGGACTTCTACACTTAGCCTTGCATTCATCATTGTGCATTCTGTCAATGAACATTTACTGAGCACTGTCAGGAACCACGCTAGGTGCTGAAAAAATAAAAGTAAATAAAATGGACTCAGCCCATAGAAGAGTAAGAGCAAGATAGGTAAAATACTAAATAGCTGGGGAAGCGGGAGAAGGCTTCAGTGGAGGAGGTGATATCTGGGCCAGGGAGAAACAGTATCAAACCCATGTCTCACATAGCCTTGGGTTCCCAGCACCAAAGGACACAATGCTTTGCTCTCAGTTGAAGTTCAGCAAATACATAAATTTAGTCAAGTAGAGAAAGCCTGCTCAGCCCCCTCAGCCTCTCTTGGAGATGAGGGAGGGTGATCACTGACTCCACAGTCTGGCAAGGGCAGGTACAGAGGCTGACACTGTACCTGACTACGTACGGTATTGCTTAGGTGGTTATCCTCGGACATCTGTGCATTCTGGAAGTAGGACAAGGGTGCAGGTAACTCTGTCATTGGAGCAACCGTATAGAAATACTTTTTCACAGAAAACAAAGCCTCTTGGGGTTCTGAAAAGGGAAAAAGAAAACAAGCCTTTGGGCATTACAATTATACTTTTATTTTAAAACACTTTTATAAATTACGTTTAGCAAAACAAACCTTTCTTTCATGTGTTCTCTTCCAGGCAAAGCTTTCTAAGGACCTCAAAGGCTGCTGTCACTTGCAGGCTCCCGGATTAGGTCTGAAATAGGATTTTACCAGGTCACCCAGAGTTGCCCAAATCCTAGTAAATCCATTTACACCAATCAAATACTTAAAAGACCAATTTGTAAACCAGAAATGTATTAATTTGCCATGACCTTCAACTGACAAACTTTTGTTAGCTCAAGATACCTCTTTGGTAATGAGCAAATCTACTTGAGAAACCAAATATTTTCAATCACAAAGATGTCCAATGATTTCAGATTTAGAGCTGGGGCTGCTGAATGATCTTAAAGAATGTTTTCATCAACACTCCTTTTTCTATGCTGACCAATCCAAACTAATTTTTACATCTCCATAAAATTATTTTTCTAGAGCTTTTAATTTTGCAAAATTCTATCATCTCATTTTATCCTTACCACAATGCCCCAAAGCAGGGTAAACAGGTAACACACCTCTTTTACAAAAGGAGAAAGGGATCCAAGCTCAGTGACTTGCTTAAAATCACCCAATTGGGTGGACCAGGACAACAATCGCAGACTCCTGACTCCCGGCCTCAGGTCTCTCCTTTGCATCCTGGCGCAGCCTTATTTATACCCATCACTCTGTCTCCCAGAGCTCACCCTCCTGCGGGGCCATGTTGCCATTGGCCAATTTCCATCAGCCAATTCTTTATGACTTCAACTTTCCTTTTCATAGAAAGTCTTCAGAAATACAGAAGGAAAAAAATCTGTTTGCATATCTAAAGTATTCTAATTCATATAGAGTATCTAAAACTTTACCATGTACATATTCACGTGAAAACAATTTGTCAATGTGCTGTTTCATTTTCACCTTTAACTTAGGATCTTCTACCCTCTAAATACTCCATTGTTTTTATTCTAATAATTTTTTCATCAAAGACATATAAAGTAACTTTTTCCTCTAGTAAAGGTATGGAGTTCAAATTAACCCTTAATTACCTATATTTGCATTGTTCAAATCAGAGACAAGTTTTTAACCAAGGTATGCTTTCCCTTCTATCCTACTTGTTTTTATGTACCATGCCTACCTCTCTCCTCCCCTCAAACTTCAGCCCATAGTTAGGTGGCATGGGATCAGGGGATTACAAATAATATTCACTAAACAAGACATAATTAATTAATGTAAATTTGTTTTAAAACGAAAGCGAATTAAAAATAGAAATAGAGACAACAGTTACTTTTATGGGGGTTACTCACTGGCAGGGGGTACATGGGAAGCTTTGGGGGATATTGTTAACGTTTTGTTTCTTGATCTGGGTGCTAGTTACACAGGAGTTCCAGTCTGTGAAAATTCACTGAGCTGTACACCTATGTATCTGTGCACATTTCTATATATTTCATTTAAAAAATTCAAATAGATTTTTGTGGGAGTAAATCTACATTTAGGGTTATTCATATCATTGGTCCCGTCTTTTAAAATTGATAAAATTAAGACATGGCAATATGTATGTTAGCTTACCCAAAAGAGAGGAGTATTCCAACATAACAGATACCCGTATTTTCTAAGTACAATAAGTATTCAAAGTAAATGTTCTGACCTATGCATCTAGATTTTTAAAAGTTGACTATATAATTGAAATTATAACATCCACATGGCATTAACGATCAGCCAACAGAGCACACATTATTCCCTTCCTTTCCACAAAAACATTTAGTACAGCACCTACTACCTCAGCTAACTCAGAAATGCCACAGGATGGCAAAGAGAAAAAGTTGCAATTAGTTACCTCCACTGGCTGCTCTGAGGACTATACCACATCATTTAAAGACAGCTCTGTAACAGAAAACCCTTAGAAATCTGTCATTAATATTCGCATATGATCCCTCAGAAATAAAACAAGTAAACAAGATAGTGTTAGCCAAATAAAATAAGCAAAGGGCAAGAAAGGCCAATGCAGGCAAAAATTAAAAGTAAATGAAGTGTATTACGTTGGAGGTGAAATATGAACAGAAGAAAAGTGATTATCCATTCACTAAACAGGAGTACTGGCTGTCTATTTATATCAAAACTCAAAAGACAGACACTGAGAGGATTTAACTAATTAATTATGTTCGCTTTACCCAGTTTACAGATGAAAACAATGTAGCACACAGAAGTTCACTAACCTGCCCAAGCTCATACCCAGTAAGGAAAGGAGCACGGCAAAGGCTCACATATTACACTGTGCTGCCTGTGTAAAACTCCATCTCTGCCCTTCAGGAGTTTACAACAATGAGCATTAAGATATATTGAGCTGATTTTTATTACTAGTAAAACTACTGCTTAGAAGTAAATGAGATATTTAAAAAAATAGTAGTAAATGAGATCTTAAATTTCAATAACTGGTCTAACTACAAATTAAAAATTAAAGTGCCAAAAGCATTCCCAATATACAGTCCTAGTATTTTTTTTTTTTTAAATATGCTATAATGAGACTGTGGTCATTTTAATTTAAGTAGTTTCTTCCATTATTAGCCTTATGCTTATAGGATCTGTTCAGCCATTACAAGAAATCATACAAACTGATTATCACACTGGAGCTTTCTCAAACAAATCTTATAAGAATCATCAATAGCACAGTAGTCACTTTAGCACAACCCAATACTATTTTCAAAGGCATATCTGTATTTACATGTGAATTAACTAAAGCTCAGGAAAGGTGAAAGAATTTGCCAGTGCACAGTTATGGTGCAAGTAACACCAGTTCCAGAACCTAGGTCTTCTGATGCCCAGCCCAGGTCTTTTCCAGTTCACCCAGAGAAAGCTCAAGCCTCCACTGATGCTTTGAAGATCACAATGGTGCAGGGTGACCCTCCCTAGAAGAGCTGCTCTTTACATGGAGCTCAGCAGGAAGCAGAGGCAGGCAAGAGGGCTAGCGAGGTCTTCAGTCAGGCCTGGTAGACAAACAAACATTGTTGGTACAAAGAAAGGGGCAGCCGAAGCCAGATTTGACTCTGGTCCAGGAACAGCTGAAAACAAGTGATGACTGCATGGAGAAGGCCAATGATCCCACTGTTCAGGCAGCGTGGCAAAAGACACTAGTGGACTTTATAACATTCTTAGCAGCGCCCTGAGAACAAGAAAAGACAGTTGTTGAGAAGTGATGATCTGTCATGTGACCTGGATTGCACAGGGAGTAGGAGTAGGGACGGAAGTAGATTTTGGTGTTTTCTCTCTCTGGCCACCTGCTAAAGATTTTCTGAGACTGACAGAGCAGAACACTTGAATTCACTGCCATCCATTATCTTTTTCTCAAGACATTTTCTCAATCAGATAAGAGGAAAAAGAAATCTTTTTCTGATGGGCAACTACATTTTCTTTCTATTATATACAAAGAGACTTAAAAAGCCCCAGGAGAATACAAATAATCTTGAAGTTCAGATATGCTGGACAAAAAAGTCTATCTAACCAGAAAATCTATCCATCAGCACTTCAAAAAGTATCACAGGAGCAATGCTCAGAGTCTCAAAGTTTATTAAAAATCCTATTTAAGGAAGGACCAACAGAAAAGTACATTTCTGTCTCTCACTACATCCCAAAGTAACAACTAAACCTCAAACTCTTATAGCATGTTTACTTAATGACTGATACCATTTTCTTTCCTCACTCAGAGATAAAGGTAAACAAAACGTATACTCCAAGAAACAAACATCTTCATGAGACTTTGATTTATCACGATCTTCTCCAGCACAAAGGGCTTGTGGCTTGCTTTACTGACTCTTAGCCACTTGACTAGTTTCTCCCCCACTTAAAAAACCACCAAAAATATTTTTTTTTTTTTAAAGATTTTATTTATTTATTTTTCCCCTCAAAGCCCCAGTAGATAGTTGTATGTCATAGCTGCACATCCTTCTAGTTGCTGTATGTGGGACTCGGCCTCAGGATGGACGGAGAAGTGGTGCCTCGGTGCGCGCCCGGGATCCGAACCCGGGCCACCAGCATCGGAGCGCGCGCACTTAACCACCAAGCCATGGGGCCGGCCCAACCAAAAATATTTTTTAAAGTATCTTTGTATTGTGACGCTAAGAAGTTTTCAAGTGCCAAATGAGCTTGTGATTTATTCTTTTTCCACAAAAGTATTTAATCAGCCTTCATGTTACTTTGACAACTTCTTCCTGGACAGGGAGCCCGAGTTCTGATTACTGTATATGGATGGGCTGGGAGAGCCTCTATTTGAGTTTTTAAAAGCTCACAGCCAACAATAAATGTAACCAACCTCCAAACTACATTCCGTAATTAAAATTAATAAAAATAATTTGAAATTAATTTAAAACTTCAGGAATACATCCTGGAAAGACTCCTCTGAATTTTAAGAGATGGGAGTAAATAATTTCCCCAGCCCTACAAGAGGCTTTGTGAAGGTGGTAGACCCTAAAAAGAGCAAGGATAGTGATACATCCTATTTGGTGATTTTTTTCCTCCTTCCATCCCACTCCACTTCTGTGAACCATCTGTGGTAGATTAGATTATTATGTAGCAAATATTCACTCCCTGCTCCAGCATCCCCAAGGAAGGAACATACTTCTCCTCTCCAGTGATGTTGGACTTGGCTCTGTGACTTGCTTTGGCCTCAAGGTGGGTGCAGTCTACTACCCACCCCATGCCTTTGGGCACAATCATGACTTGCTTTGGTCAGCGGGATTGTAGCAGATATGGCACAAGCAGACAATTGAACTGTACTTGTACAGTTGGCCTTGTGCAGAAGTTGTACTTCTGCTGTTGCCTTGAGAAGAGCTTACCGTGGGTACCCACTGCCCCTTCAGCCTGGGCCCCAGAATAAGACATGCAAAGCAGAATTGCCCTAGCTGATCCACAGACCTACACCTTGAAGCAGAGCCTTGTGTGAGAACAAACGCTCTAAGGCACTGAGTTCTGGGGAGGTCAATTATGTAGAGTTATTGTACTTGTTTTTAAAAAATAAATGGCCTCAGAAATGGGCCCAAAAATATGTGGGCTCAGAAGATGCACTGAAAATGCACAAAGACAAATCCAGAATCACTTATCTGAAACCCTTAGGACTAAATGTGTTTAGAATTCATATCTTTTTTCCGATTTTATAAAGGTAATAAGATGCAAATACCATACATTTTATAATGCCCCCTCAGGGTCTTAGATAGAACCACAAAATAAAACCCATTAATAAATATATAGTGAAACATATAAGTAGTCTATAAATAGATTCAGGTTAGATTTTGCTATCAAATGAATTACGAAAAGCCTTTTGGTTTTTTTCAGAGGCTTTTGGATTTCAGAATTGTGGATATGGGACTATGGTCCTGTATTATCAATATTTGTATAATTATAAAGAATGTTTCCCCTGAAAACACTTGGTTTCAATAACTCTACATGGAAGGCATGATTATCCCGAGTCACTGTCTCAAATTCACTGTGGAAACGGGTAGAATACAACTAATCTTTAATGAAAAAATGACTGCTCACATCTAAATCATTGGTTATACTTAGCAATGCTTGCATTCTCTCTTTTGTTTTAGATCAACTTAAGGAACTGTACAAGGGATTGTGAAAAGCAAACATTAATACCTTTTAGTCAACAAACATGGTTTCTTCTACAGACACTGTAATAGGTGCTGGGGATGCTACTGAATCAGATAATGCTTCTGTTTATTTAAGGAGCTTACTATCTAGAGGGGAAGACAGACAAGTATATTTTCATATTAATTACATGTTGAAATAAAAATATATTAGATGTACTGGGTTCCATAAAATATATTATTCAAATTAATTTTACCTATTTCTATCTTAGAAAAAATTGTTTATTAGAAAATTAAAATTAACATTTGTAGCTCACATTATGTTTCTATTGGACAGTGCTGCTCTAAATCTTCAGTTCTTTCTGCTATGCCAGGCCTAATATTGAATATCTCTGATAACCTTTTCCTTCCTGAAGCTTCCCTCCCTTCCTCAGCTCCTGTGACACTGCACTATGGAGGTTCTCCTCCCACCACGCATTCTCCTCAGCTACTTCCTCACGCTTCTTCCATTCCCTCATTACTGGTGCTCCTAAGGGTCTGTCTGGGCCTCCTCACGCCCTTCCTTTACTTATGTGTCTTCTCCACTGCTCCAACATCAACTGCTAAGTCTATTTAAGTGACTCTCATGTTTAGAGCTCCAGGCCTGTCCACGGGACATTTTCATCTGCTGGCACTTCAAAAGTGATACTTCCTCCTCTTCCTCTCTAGACTTTGCTCCTAACTTCCTTATTTCTGTGATCATCTCTCTCATTCTCCAAACTTAAAGCCTCCTAGTCAACTTTCCACTTTATTATATAGCTCCTCAATTGGCTGCCATGTCCTATTCATGTTTTCCCTCCTTTCTAAGCTTCTGCCACCACCGAACATCAAACTCTCAATATATCTCCCCTGAATTATGCACAAGTCTTATCTTATCCATTCTGGCCCCCACTATCAAATTAATGTGCCTAAAGCAAAGCTCTGACCAAAACAGTGTCACACTTAAAACACCTTGCAAATCTGCCTGGCATCTATCACATGAAGGAGAGGCAGTGTTAGGGGTCTTTTGAAAGGTTTTCCAGAACATAGCCAATAGAAGTCAGTCTCTCCCAGCAATCTGATACAACAGTAGTGAGAGAGCAGGAGCAGAAGGAACCTGGATCTGAGCGAGAGGAAGAGGATCACACAAGCTTTGTTAACAGACAAATGTTGTATCTTTCCTGCTAGGATGATACTCAGAGACCAACTCCAATCCTTCAGTTCTCCCCAAATGGAAATTCATGCAGCAGTCTAGGACTAGCAGCAGCATTAACTCAAAATTCAGCAATAAATCATATACATTCAGAGGAAAGTATATCCAGAACTGCGGGAACTGTCTACCCAAGGACCAGGAATAGAAGAATAGAAAAACAGATGATAGGGGCCGGCCCTGTGGCTTAGAGGTTAAGTGCGCGCTTTCCGATGCTGGCGGCCCGGGTTCAGATCCTGGGCGCGCACCAACACACCGCTTCTCCAGCCATGCTGAGGCCGCATCCCACATACAGCAACTAGAAGGATGTGCAGCTATGACATACAACTATCCACTGGAGCTTTGGGGGGAAAATAAATAAATAAATAAAATCTTAAAAAAAAAAAAAAAAGAAAAGAAAAACAGATGATAGATGCCACTTCTATCATCTGTTTGGGGGAAGGGCGAATCCATGCACTCAATAGGCTTCTTTTTTCATTGTTAAGGGCTTGTTATTAAACGAGAGTGGGGCTGGGGGGCTTAAGGTGAACTCTGAAAATGAGCTAAGGAGATCAGAAATAGGCTTTTGCAGGTGACTGAAATTAGCCAAATGCAACAAGCTCCAATCTACTTTCCTGTTTTATCCTCCTTCCTAACAGTTATTTAATGTTCAGACTGGGTCACTGGATGCTTACGATCCAGAGGGCCCCTGTCTGTAGTACACCCTCTGATTATAATGCCCTCCCCACTTCAATTCTAAGGGTGAAAACCTTTCCAATGCAAAAGATGTCAAAAAACAAGATTCCCTTAACCAGATGTGATCTCTACCTGCCTCTAACTTCACAGCATGTTATGACCTTTACAATATGCTCTGCCAAATACTCATTATATATGCCATATAGTTATTTGCATACTATTCTTATCTCCCATAGTAAACCTTGAAAACTTCATTCATCTTGTCCAAAACAGGCAAGCAATGCTTTTAAAATTATTATTAAGTTACTTTCCTACAAGACAAGCAGATATTTATTTGAAAAACATCTGAGAGGGAAGAAAACGCAAATATCTAAGAAGCATGCAAAGCACTGGACATAACGCCTCGTGACAGTCCCGATCAAGGGAAAGCATCAGACCCTGTTTTCCCCTCGGACGTGAGACATAAGGAACTTAGCCCTGAGTGCCACTCGCTTCCCCTGGACAAGGACACAGTCAGGGCATGAGGCGCGGAGTTTCACCAGTTGCTCAACCAGACCCCGCGCAAGGCGCTTCCTCTTTCTCCTGCTCCACTCCAGTCAAGACCGGCAATCCCGGCCCAAGGCACCTGCGCCTAGAGATGACTTCGGGAAACCAGCACTTCCGGACCAAGGTTCCGAACGGGAATCTCTCTCCTACCTGACCACGCGCCGCGCCCGGAGTCCGAGAAACTGGCCGCCCCTCCTCGTTCCCCACACGGGGTTCCTCGGTCCCCGCCCGGCCGCGCCCCGCTCCTCAACCTCGAGGACACCGGCTCCACGGCCCAGGCGGCGACAAAGGGCCGGCCCTGCCCGCAGCCGCCCGTGTCGGCACGGAGTGAGAGGCTCCTTCGCCTCTCCCCGGACTCCCCATCACGCACCTACTGTTTCCTCGCCGCCGCCACCGCCCGCTCGCAGCCAAGGACCTCTCCCGAGCAGCCGCTGTTTTGTTTCCGTTGTGAAATCCCGGCCTCTGAAGCTGCCTGGCCGAAGCCCCGCCCCAAAGGCTTCATCGGCGTCGTCATTTCCGGCTCTGGCGTCGTTGGCCACCCGCCCACCAGGGAGGGGCGGGACCTGGAGCGGGCAGGGCGGGGCCCACAGGCGGAGGGGCGGGGCCCAGAGGAAGGGGGTGGAGCTTCCGGTGGTACGCAAGATAGCCCGGGAAACCCTGCACTCCAGCGGGTCTCCCGGACCTAGAGGAACTCCTCCGGAATGCTAGCCTGAGTGTGAGGTTATCAGGGATCCAAGACTGCTCTTGAGCTAAGGATCAAAGTTTCTACGTAAACTGAGCCCAGCGTGTGCTTCTCCCGGCCTCCAAGTGATGGTATCTTAAATCTAAGGGTTCTTTCATTTCTCTATAGTACCTAGTTTGTAAGTGTTTCTCAATGCGAATCAGCTGCATCACAATCAAAAGGATGCTAATTTAATTGTAAATACCTGTGCCCTCTGTCCCCTATCCAATGAATCAAAACTTCTGGTGGGTGAGGAAAACCTGAGAAACTGCATTTTAAACAACCCTCGTCTGGAATTCTTGGGCTCCAAGTTTAAGAAGCAGTCTTCCTACATAGTAAGCTTCTAGATAGCAGCAAGAAATGTGTCCTATTTTTGTAATCCCAAAACCTAAGAGTATCTGGTACACAGTAAGTTGCTCAATGGTCGCTTGATTTCTGCATCTGCCAGCTTTTCGTCCAAACTGCAGTAAAGACAGTACCAATAGGGGGGCGGGCCTCGTGGCTTAGCGGTTAAGTGCCCGTGCTCCGCTACTGGCGGCCCAGGGTTTGGATCCTGGGCACGGACCGCACCACTTTGCCGGCCATGCTGAGGCGGCGTCCCACATACAGCAAATACAAGGATGTGCAACTATGACACAACTATCTGCTGGGGCTTTGGAGAAAAAAAGCAGGAGGATTGGCATGGATGTTAGCTCAGGGCTAATCTTCCTCGGAAAAAAAAAAACAAGTACCAATAACTAACCCCTTAAGTAGCATACCACATTCATACACACCATCTGAAAACTAAAAGTAAACAATGAACACTACCATGCAAAACCAAAGGTGAACAATGGAGAAATGTTCAAAGTTACAGATAATCAGAAAACAGAAAATGAAATCAATGATACATGGTATCTGGCCAAATGAGATTTTTTGTTTCTTTTAAATTCCTCCAAGATAGACCTTCACATTCCTACAGCATCAATCCCAATCCCTCCCCCCATACATGAACAGATTTAAATAGGTTTTACACACAACTTCATATTTGAAAACAGATGTAGCACTAGTTTTTTCTAACAAGGAAAAGTTGGGGGAATAAAAAGGTTGACACCTCCCACCAAAAAAGATATTTTTTAAAGTCCTCATCTCCCCCTTCCCTCTTTAAACTTCACAAGGGTAGGAGGTTTTGCCTGTCTGTTCACTTATATATTGCAAGTGCTGAGAACAGTGCCTAGCACATAAAACAGTTCATTTGTCAAACAAGCATAGGCTAAAACCCACAGATTTATTTGTGAACTAGTTCAATCTCTTTGAATGCAATCTGGCAATATGAATTGAAAGTCTTAAAATGCTGGCAAACTATTCTTAGAAACAATCTCAATACAAAAATTTTAGGAAAAGATGATCATGGAGTATTATTTATAGCAAATATTGGAAAGCCAAATGTCCTACAATAAATTATGGTTCACCCACTTCACAGAATGTCATTAAAATTGTTTATAAAGATTATGTGTAACAGAAACATTCTTTTTTTTTTTAATAATTTTATTTATTTATTTTTCCCCCCAAAGCCCCAGTAGATAGTTGCATGTCATAGGTGCACATCCTTCTAGTTGCTGTATGTGGGACGCGGCCCCAGCATGGCCGGAGAAGCGGGGCGTCGATGCGCGCCCAGGATCTGAACCCGGGCTGCCAGCAGCAGAGCGCGCACACTTAACCCCTAAGCCACAGGGCCGGCCCAGAAACATTCTTATTTTGTTAAACTAAAAAATAAAGACATAAGATTTATGCACGTGTGTAAATACAACTATGTCAAAACACATACCTGAAAAAAGGAAACAAAAAAGATGATAACAAGGCAACCAGTGACTTTGAATATCTAGACTACAGATAATTTTTTCTCGTTTTCTCTATTTCATCTTCTTAGGAATATGAACACCCAGGATTCACCAAGGAAGAGCTGGCAAAAGACACTGGGAACAACAAAGACTGGAGGAACAAGGCAAAAGTGATAAGCTAGACACTAAGGAAGAAGAGACGAGAGCAAATGTCCATAGTGCTAAGACATGAACTAGCGTTTAGCCTCTTACAAGGCCTCAGAGTCTCATTTAGGCTATATCACCCTTCACCAATGGAATGGTGAGATACAAATGCTGAGTGAGACTTGGGAAATCTGGAGGGCACATGTAATTATAAGCTACTCTTTGTGGAATCTCTATAGTGTAGGAGAGAGGAGACAGGATTCAAGGTTAAGTTTTTGTGTTCTTTAAAACTTATTCTGGACCGGAAGAAGAAAGAAGACAATGGAAATACCTGAGCAAGGCTCAAGAAACTGCAAAATGTAGTTAGAAACCAGAGCCAGTGGAGTGGCGGAGGTCTTCTGGACAGGATGGATGAAGCATCTATGAATTATAGAAAGCAAAGGTTTAAGATGCATGTCACCGTAAACTGGAGAGCTAGAACTGGAGAGAATGTGCCTAATGGCTTTTTTTAAAGTTAAGATTTTGTTAAGCTTGCGAGTTATTTGCTAAGTAAGGGGGAAAATCAATTTTTTTTTAAATCATTCAGTGAATGTTTTTTCCATACCAACAATAGCACTGGAAGTTGAAAAACAGTAAAAGTTGCAGTGTGTGGGAAGGAGCTGAAGTTCAGCAAAAGAATGAGAAAAATAGCACTGAGGGTCCAGACTATCTGCAGTGGTACATTTATATTTTCCCCAGAAGTGTTTGGAACTTGGGAGCAAGAATGGAGAAACAAATGATAAACACAATAAATGGTAGCAAAACCCAATAGTTAAGTGGTGAAAGACAAGGAGACAGGAAATCCAGAGTGCTGGACCTATTAGAACTACTTGCAGGAGGCGGGCTGTGAGAGACGATACAGGTCAGAGCAGTCACTGGTCACTAGTACATTAAGTCAGGACCTGGTCTATCAGAGAACCAAGGCCAGTTCTTTAGACCACTGATTACAAGGCAACCCAATTTGTTAACACTTCCCACATAAAAGCAGTTTGCCTTTATACACAATGTCACTACCCTGTTTCCTATGGAAGTAAGGTAGAACTGAAATAGAGTGATTAAATATTGTCATCAGGGCTGGGTCTTTGGCCGCATTCTTATTAGCTCTCACATCATTCTGATTCTTTTCAAGGATTGGTCTCCTTAGATTGGGACCTGCTTAAGAGCAAGGGCTGGCTTTATCTTACTCATGTCGTATTTTTAGCCTTCAGTTCTGTATATTTGTCAATATTTTATTAAATGTAATTTTCTTCTTAACCAAGAACCTGGACCCCCTTTTTAAAAAACTTGCCTCAATATACTCAACAAAATGACTTTATCTAGCTTTTCCACCTACAATAACAATTAGTTAAGTCTCTTCACCTGGATATATTTGACAATTTTTTTTTTTTTTAATTTATTTTTTCCCCCAAAGCCCCAGTAGCTGGTTGTATGTCATAGCTGCACATCCTTCCAGTTGCTGCATGTGGGACGCGGCCTCAGCATGGCGGGAGAAGCAGTGCGTCGGTGCGCGCCCAGGATCCGAACCCGGGCTGCCAGCAGCGGAACGCGGGCACTTAACCGCCAAGCCACGGGGCCGGCCCCTGCCAATATTTTTAAATTGATAAAAATGAACATTCATAGTTTCTGTATTCTACAATGTAAGGTGTTCACTAGTTTTTTCTTTTGTTATAAAAAACAGGAAAAAGTTTAGAACTATTTTTAAATTCACGCAATACTTTTTGCTTCAACAAAAATTTGCTTAAAATGCTTTCTGTGGGGGAATTTTAACACTTTCCTCTGCCCGTAAGTCTATATCAGCATCTAGACAAGACCTATCCAGTATAGCTTTCTGCAATCACAATGTTCTATAATCTGCAATGTCCATCCAATATCGGTAGCCACTAGCTATATATGGCCGAAAACTTGAAATGTGAGTATTGCAACAAAAAAACTTAATTTTTAATTTTAATTTAGTCGCACGTGCCTTTTGAACACTTGAAATATGGCTAGTGTGATTAAAGAACTGAGTTTTAAATTTTATGTAACTTCAACGAATTTAAAACACAGCACAGATCTAGAGCACGAATTAGAATCCCATATACCCTATAAAGGCCTATAAATACCCATCTGTTGAGAACATCGTGGCAATGTTGCATTGGGTGGACAATGTGATCTCTAAGGTCCCCTCTACATATTACTACCTCTGCTGAGAATCTTCCTATTGTCCCTTTCCTGTTGACCTTGAAGTTAGCTCACCCAGTTTGACAGTTCATATACAACTTTGTCTATTAACATTGCTCTCATTGTTTCACTACTAGACTGTCAGCTACTAGAGCGATCTTATTTATGTCTGTCACTCCACCTAGCTTATAACATGAATGGCACATATTACATGTACTTCAATGGCTAAATATAAGTTATATGCAAAAAACAGAAGGGTTGCCTGCTTAACAATTCAGCTACTACTCTGTGCACAAGAAATCTAAAAGTCATCGATCCAACTAATATGTGATGTGGCAGAGTAGGCAGACTTGGAGTGTCATTTAATTCAAACAACATGGCTTGAAAAGAATTTTTATTTATTTATTTTTGTTTATAGAAGTTATCTTTTCTTCTTGGGCATTTTAGATTGCCATTCTTAATTTGGCCTTCACGAGTCAAGTAAAAAAATGAAAGGCAAAGAATCTGTCAAATAGAGATGAAAATGTAAGCATTCAAATGGAAACAAATATTTCAATAATATCACATAATAATCACATTTCAAAAAATCTACCAGTTTATCAAAAATTATAAGC